CAAGATTTTTCTGAACTGTGAGCAGTGAGCAGTGAGTAACACAAAATAGACTTTATCAGATGAGTCAAATGCTTATGGGACAAATGCTTATCACAAAATGGCTTCTAAAATAGCCTCAATTGCAAAAGTAAACGTGATAGTTGTAAAAAAAAAATAAATGAGAAAATTTGTTGTAACAGATGGCAGGTTGCTCCTTATGGGAGAGATGACGGTGCAGACTCACATTAGTAAGAAACCTCCCTCACACAGAGAGGGGAGAGAACATGAAATCACACCCTCTTACTATTATAATTGGACACGATATAAAGTACCTGAGGACTACTTGACAACAGAAGACAGTGAAACAACTCAAACAAACGCATGGTGAGTATTAATGGAAGGAGTGCACACCATCTCTGAAAAACAGGAAGGTCACGGTTACATCTTTTCCCATTATTTCATTATGATGGAAACAGCTGACTCAGCTGGCCCACATCTGCACAAGTTCTACAGGACAGAAGCCACATCATCAGCCTGGAGCGGACTCTGTTGCACTAAGTTTTTATTTTGCTACTTCTCCTTTTTTACCACAACCAAGACAAATGACACATTTTGGTGACTCAGGCATACAGTCATTCTGCGACTGCTTGTCAGGGAAAAATTACACCTTACTTTTGGTTAGCTTTGGACAGGCGGGTGACAAAATGGAACAACTTTGAAGAAGTAGAAGACAATGACTATGTGACGCCATCCTCTGGCAACTACAGGAATAGACACACATGGGCTTTTATGCAGGTATATGTGGAAGAAAAAAAAAGTGTGTGGTGAATTAGATGTAATTTACATCTGAAAAAAAAAAACAGCCTGCGTACATACAGGATATCCTGAATCATGCTGAGAACAGCCGACCAGATAATCATGGTTAACAGTTTCTCTTTAAGGCCATTATCATTTTGCAGCCTTTTGACTGTTGAGATATGGGCTGCACGTGGGCGTGATGAGTCTGATTTCCCAGAAACATGAAAACACAGTAATGGGTACTACAATGACAAAAAAATGTGGATGATTAGATATGAATGCGATTCAAGTGGAAATTTGCATGAACTGTTATCTCCACCAGGTAAAAGCGTTTGGTCATGTGCGTGTGTGTGTGTGTAGGTATGTCTGTATCTGTCTGTTCACAGCTAATCTCGCAAACTACTGGACCAATCAGCCTCATGTTTTGTGTGCACATTTATGACCGTAAGCTCAAGGACCTCTTGAGGTTATGGTGGTTCACATTTGTTGAAAAACTTGTTTTATTTAGTGCTAAAATACCGTCATTAACTGCTCATGCCTCACTCCTCTTAACCTGCTGGTAGGGGCCACAAGTTTCCGGAAACCTGCTCGATTAAAAACGCCAAGCCTATATCCGCTGCAGGCCACATCTCTGCCTTTATTATGGCTCCAAAACTGACATCCATACAAAAGATTGGTCCCACTTTAACCCAGAGGATCTACAGATGCAGGTGTGCAGGGTGGAGCTCTGATGATCTTTTCTAGTTCTATCTGTTTTTGAGTGCACTTACAGTGTGCACAGGTGGGCAACTGAATTACTTTATAGCTGCTACTTTTTTTGGGTAATACAATTACAAGCTTCTCATTCAAATTACATTTGATCAACATATGCTGATGCTGATTTAAAATTACTAAGAGCCAGTGTAGCTAGTGGCTTTCTAAGGACGTGTTTTTTCCCCTCTTACTTGAGTCTTTTGCTGTGTTGCTTATTTTAAAATTGAATGCCTTGGCAGCCACAGGTCCCTCAGAGTGAGGTTGTTTTCTGCTTATCTGAATGTTTTGTCATGCATCCTAATGAGATTGCAGTGCGGTCTGATTCCTTTTTTCATATCCTTTTCATAAAGCTTACGAGTGTCTCTGTATTCTGTAGTAATCCAGTCAAAGTAAGCCTACGTTTTACTTCTACTACTGCTTTTCTGACACTGTTATCTTTGTCTTGTTTGTTTTTTATTTTTGGTTTGAAATAAAGTCATTCATTCATTCATTCAAAGCACTGGTGTGTAATCAAGTGTTATCTTACCAGATAGAGGAGAAAGGTGTGCAGGCCAGTCCCAAGGCCTACTGAAGACAGGATCCCAAGGCCTACCCAGTAGGCACACCATAGGAACCTCTTCTCCAGGTAATTAACATACTTCAGTGAAGAAAGTAAAATAAAACAGATTAGAAGGCGGAGGACACAGGGTATGAACACTGAATTATGGTTACAGTTCTAGTCTTTCATTGTCTGTTTCAGATGTTTCAATGTACTCGTATTTATGATATTAAAAGCTTGTCAGTTGTAGTCATGGGGTGATTATGGCTGAAATAATACATTTTTATTTTGATTAATACCAGCTGTTTTTAGAGGGAAAGGTACATTTTTAAAATTTCAATTTGTATATACTTTTTAATCTCATTATATACTAAAGATTAGCTGTATTGGTTAAATATTATTTCATCATTATAAATGTGAGTAATCTAGGAAGATGTGGTGATTGTTTAACTGGAATGTAATGGACCACTGCACAGAGGAATTCGTAAACCGGACTCTCAGCCAACTGTATGATCAAGGGTTACTTGACAACAGTACAGACCTCATTATCTCCCAACATAAGCTTACTCCTAGGAGCCTTTTTAGGCAGATAAAGAGTGACTTATCATTAACCTTTAAACAGGCAGGTGACAGAGCAGTGGTGTTGATTATTAACATCACTAACAGAAAACAAATCAGCCAAGCCTTACTTGTTGGTGTGCTCCCTCAGTGGAGTAGGCGATAGAGAACAGAGAACATAACACCAAAACTAAGAACACTGTGCCTCGCCGTTGCCAAAGCCTGAACAGAGAAGCAAGAAAACAAAATGGACAATAAGGACACAAGTTCCACACATGCAAACTGAAAAGGTGTTTACAGAAACATTTTTTCATCAATCAATCATTTAGGTCAGAGGGTATGTCTTCGTTAACTGGTGAGCAAAACAGATTCACATGAAAAACAAAACAAAAAAAAGGTCACAAGCACAAACATCCTTGCAAAAGTAGTGCGCCAACAAAGGCACATTTGGAAAACCTTTTTTTTTAAACTTCTTACTTAAACGTCCACTCCTTTAGCTTGATAAGGGTCTCCAGGAGAAAATAATGTAATGTGGTGACAGGCCTCCTCCATAACACCAGAGACAGGCGCTCCTCCTTATCTTTCTGTCGCCTCTCTCTTACTGAAGAGTCTGGAGAACAAACAAAACTGCAATCATCCTCACATACTGTAATACTTGTGTCCCCATCAATTAATGCATGCTGTTGAACCGGTAATGCTACAAACATGATACATGTGACATCTGGTTCTTACTCTATTGTGGATCAACTTGTTTGAAAACTGAAATCAGCATAAAGTGAGTCATGGTTTTTACGACTTGCTCCAACCATGTGGTGGTAGTTATCATACTGTGCCATCAGAGATTGCACAAGCTAAACTTTTCAGGGACATCTGAGTGTTAACTTTTCTACTCTGCATTTAAAGAGCTGAAAGTTCACCAACCTGTCGACTTGCCATTCTGTTTGTCTTTAGCTCCTGCACGTTTCTGTGGCTGCTCACAGCTTGCTCCATTGACTGCCATGTCAATCAAGGTTTCAGCAGGTCAGGCAGTTTGGGTTAGAAAAAGAGCGGCGAGTTGGTGTCTCTTGTGTAACAGTGTCCTCCCCGCTGGTGTTTTGCTCCCTACTGACCAAGACAATATGACAGACGCTGTGGGACTGTCGTGAAATCCTTATCAAGGACTCTTCGGCGTTAAATTATCAGACTGTCAATGCAAATGTTTCGTCAACTGACATTCAAATTACATTAGCGTAAGAAAAAGAATATATCATACTAAACTCTAATACAAAATAGCACTGACTGCCTCACAACACTAAGATATAGGGCTTACTTAAACAACCGTCGTTCAGTAGGTCAATCTGTAACAAGATATGACGCCAAATGCGTTCACATCATCACCATCCACATGCTAACCGGTTAGCCAACATGCTAACGGATAAGCTAGGCACGCTAGCCATTTCTACATTAAAATACAGCTTTAAAATCAATAACGAGTCGCCTTACTTGTGGGGAGGTGTGTAAAAAATGTTCCCTGTCGCTGTGCTGTTAAAGTGATAACAAAATATACTCTTATAAGGTGTAAAACAGAGCGATGTTTGTTACAATCATATGACAGTCGTACCTCTTTCCTGTCCCCTTCACCCGGAAACTGACAGCGGACGTGTCAAAGTAAAACGACTTCGCGGTTCAGCCGTGAATAATTTGTTTGTTATTAACTACTATGGTAAAATAATAAATTGTACAATAGTGAAAAGGAGACGCCGCATAAATAAAGCACTTGCTTACCTCCTAATTCCATTTATGTGACTCAACTTATAAATGAGATACTTTTATTGTGAAATTGGGATGACGACGTATTTCCGTGAGGTGTTTTATGGTCCAATCGGAGGTTGCCAGATTTGCCAACAAAGTGAGACAATTACAAGAGTCTGCGGGCTCATTTTCACCTTGACTCATGTAGCAGTAGGTGTCCAAAACCAGATGGCATTGCTCCAAAATTAATTCCTACAACTACTGCTCAGTTTTAGTGTCTGTCTGCCCACCAGGGGTCAGGACTGTCCAGCTGTGAGACACATACGCATGCTTTAAGGATCTGTCACTTTTGGAGCCCTGAAAGGACACCTCACCTCACCTCACACAAAGTCTGCAGTGCTGCTGAGTGTACATTATAGGCTGTTATTATATCTAGATGTTGAGCAACACTCAATTTATTGAGCTACACGTGAAATACAAACCTTGTACTTTCCTGGCCACAAAAATTCCTCCCCTCAAGTGATGTCACATTCCTCATAATAGACACTGAGCTCTTACATCCTCCAACATTTACACATTTTCACAGACTTTGCTCCGGGGCTTCAGATGAACAGTGGAACTGGGCCGAGGAAAAACACACAAGACTGTTTCTTTGTTTTATTACAACACTGAATGAAGCCTGAGAATGGAAATTTCAACAGTTGCAGCCATTTTGTGTGTCAGATTCTACCAACAAAAAAGTACAAAATGTAAAGTACACATGTATGACATAAAATATGATCTTCACATTGCTTTCGGGTTTTTAACATGACAAAGTAAAACCAATGAGAGGTCTCATTTCAGTGTTACCAGTAGATATTACATAGTTTTTACACAGCAACCTATCAGTCAGTGTTAGCTGGATTTATCAAACTAGAGTCAAATATTGACCAAGAAAATGCTTTGAGTCACCCTTTTCATCGACACGCACCCATTATGTCAAGTGCCCCGCTGTTTTGCTGTGGTACAAAACAATAATTTAAACAGAAGTGAGCATGAGAATGAGAAAACAAAGCGCCGTGGTTGCCCTACTGCTGCTACTAAGTACTGGAAAACATTCAAACAAATCAAGGTCCCTCATTGGCTGAAGGAGACATTACAGCTTATAAGGTCTCGGGCAAGGTTACTAATAGAAACCATAGGCACTGGTTGAGCAGATGGCTTGTTCTATTCCTGGATAGTAACCTAAGCAGGTAGTGATATGGTTGTCCTTTCCTGTTGGTGTGTCTGGTTTCACTCATCATAGTGAAGTGAGGACAAGAACTTATCCACATCCAAGTCATGGGGGAAGCACTCCACAAGTTTCTTCCTTTCCTGCAGATTTAAACCAAAAGTCTGAATTAATGAGGTGTGCATAAACACTTTATAACCATCTAAACGAAAAGTGCTGATACCAAAAGCACTTCATCTGGTGAAATCGCCACAATTTCTGATCAAGAGAAAAACTTAAACACTAAAACACAAGTGTTGGATGGATGCAAAAGAGAGAGACAATGGGGCTATACTTACTTCTTTATGAATGGGGCAAAATATAACTAAGATTGGCCTGATGGTGGCACCAGAGTAAAGGCCACATTGTTACATAGACCCACCCATTCCCTCTGTAAACTGTGTATCGTGTTCAGGTTGACGGAGGTCACCTGGACACACTGCCAGGCTATTACAGGACTGACACATATGTACAGACACACACATTCACACCTAAAGGCCACTGAGTATCTAATGCACCAAACCTGCATGTCTTTAAAAGGGTTTATCCTATGTACTGTGGTCATTTTAGGACATCGCATCGCTTGTCAGGCTGAGTTATTAGTTAATAGACTAAGCTCAACTTTCATGAGTCTATGCTGTTTTGTCAGGTTGTGGGAGTTGTAAGTAATTCATGTTGAATTTACAGCTACACCAGTAAGACATTTCAGCACAGCTGAAAAAATTCAGCAACTTAATCGATGAGTCCACTGGTTCTCAAACTACACGACATGTACCACTGGTGGTGCGTGAGCTCCGTATAGTGGTGCAAAATGTAATTTAAATAAGTTTTGCCCTTTGTGTAATATTTTTGTTTTGATATCAATCTGCTACATAGTCACGTTCATGAATGTAGCATATGTCCATGATAAGTTAAGAGCTAAACTGTGACGGCAAGATAGTAAGTGGAGATAAAAATGTGTATTTTAAAAACACTGTTATCGTAGGTCAAAACAGGAACTATTAGAAAGAGAAATGTGGGTATATGATAGTTGTGTGGGAGAGTTTAAGTTCATGTTCTAGTGCTTCCCCTTTGTACAGTGGGGCCGTGACTGACAACAGTCTAAAATAAATCATCTTCTGATTAGTAGCTGAATATGGTAGGCCTATGCTACTGTATTTTAACGTCAGCCATTGTGGAGGTTATTGGAGAGCCACATAATTTTCGAGGTGGTACATGGTGTAAAGTATGAGAGAAACTGGATCAATCGATCGACAAAAAAAATTAATCGACAATTATTTTGATATATTCATTATTTTCGATGACTGAATGTCATTTTTCCATCCAAAATATCAAACATTTGCTTATTACAGCTTTTCAGATATGAGGACTTGCAGCTTTGCTTTGTTATATTTGATAGAAAACTGAATATCTTTGGGGTTTCGACAAAATAGGCAACTTAAAGACGACCCCTTAGGCTTTACGAAACTACAACATTTTCAACTGTTTCCTTACAATGTATAGGCCCGGCAATAAACTCCAAAAAAGGATTTTGATCAATTAATATAACTGCATCTGAAAAGGGAATACTGCTGAAGCAGAACTTGCCTAAGACCACAGTACATTTTAAAAACATGCCTACTGAATGGAAAATCCTTGTGTTGTACTCACCCGATCTTTCTTTTTGCTGGGAGATTGTTTTGACTCCTTCTTTGCAGGTGGGCTGGATGAGGGAGAAGACTGTTTGCGTTTCTTTGAGTTCTTTGAGCTTGTGGGAGAACCTTCTCTTACTTCCTCCTGACGCAAACTGTCCTTCAGTGGAGTGCCTGTCCTGGCGATAGCAGCACGTGACAGAATCATGAGTGTGTGAGCAGCCATGTTAATGCTGTTCTCACTGCCAGCCTCACTGACTGGGCTGCAGGTGGGGACATCCGGGGTGTTGGGAGGCATCAGATGCTTGGGAGTCGCCTCTCCATCTCTACCTTTCCTCTGTCGGGAAGGAGTCCTGGGACGTTCAGGGGACGCCTCCTGGTTACGCCCAGTCCCAAGGGTCCTGGGAAGACTATGGTCTGAACTGCCCGCTCCAGGCCTCTTGATTGGGGCGGAAGGAGAGCCAAGCCCCTGGATGTCCTGCAGCATCTCAGCTGCCTGTTTGGCCAGAGAGCTGGTCTTTGACGGTGCTTTTGTAGCCTTTGACTGAGGATTAGATGCAGGCTGGGCAACAGCAGGAGGGCTTAAGTCTTTTAATGCTGAGGATGAAGGTGTTGACTGCTGCTGCTGCTCTTGCAAGCTACCCTTCATCTCATTTTCCTTGTTAGCGGTCACATTTGGCGTCTCCTGAGAGGGAGTCCTCTTCTCTGTACGGCCCTCACGCATTTTGGCAGGAGCTTTATCTGTAGGTTCTTTCCTGCTGCTCTCCTCTTTCTCCTTTCTAGTTCCTGATTTCAGTGCAGAATCAGATGACAATGACCTAGAAGTGTGAGGATCCTTAGCTTTCGCTCCACCCCCATCCTTATTATGACTGTGTTTCCTGTCAGTAGATTTTGATCTCCCTCCTGTTTCAGACTTTTTCAAAGTCTCAGGCTGTGATGCATCATCCTTGCTGTTACTTGAACTTTGAGACTCTTGGGTATGGAAGCTATGATCTTGTTTGCGAGAGTTCTTTTTAAGAGGATCTTTCTGTTGATGTTGTGGAGGCACTGACTTCTCTGCGTCCTTCATAAAGCTTCCTCCAGTCTGAGGATCTGCTGAACATCTGATGGTTTCGACCCTCCTCTTGGGCTTGTTGCCACCCAGGATAGCAGGTTTTGTTCGAGGCACCAACCGTGCATGATCTTTCTCAGTCTGATGGACAGATTGCGATGGAGATGTATTTGTAGCTGAAGGGGTGGTGGTGGTTGTTGTTGTTGTAGCAGTCTGTGGTTGCACTTCTGCAGAAGAGTCGAAACATAAAATTCTCCTAAATCTTGAACCCTTTGATGCATCCTGCTGGCCTGTGTTTTCAGCCAGTGCAGGTTGAACCAACTTACCAACCAGGTGTTGCTCAGTGCCTGGAGTTCAGAGAAATAAGGTCAGAGATGAAACATTAATCAGAGAAGTAAAAGAATATTACGTCATTTTTAAGCATTATGTACCGCTAGCTAGCACTGCTCCAAATGAACTTGTAACTTACCAGCAGGTGTAGATGGCTTGATTGCCTTTGCCGGAGACTTGGACTTAACAGCTTCTGACTGCTGCGCTGGTACTGGGCTTGGTATGGCAACAAGCTGTAAATATAACAGTGTTGATAAGTTTTATTGTTCTAGACATTGCCAAAATCTTAAGGGCTTTAAGTCTGGGTGAAGTCAAAATAAATAGGTATTCTGAGTTTTTCACACCACAAAAAATGTGTTATTAACCATCTAGGCAAATTTGAATGACTAGAAAAATTGCCAAGCATATAAAATTAGATTTCAAAATCACAAGAAAATAAGTACTATTTTCTGCTTTAAAACGCTGGGGGTGTGTACACTGAAGGCCAGTCTTGCACATCCAATATGGATGGATAAACACTGGCAGCAATGAGCCGAAGCCATCAATATTTTGTGTTTGGCTGCCGCCTATGTTGCACCACTGGATGAGGGTCCACCAAATGATGAAGAACCCCTACCAGTATGCAGATGAGCAGGAAGCTCTTGGCTGGCAGCACAGAGAAAGGTTAAGTGTTGTTCATTTGCAAATACGTCCCATGATGCAACAATACAGGGCTGATTGAAAATCAGAACAGTTTCTCCTTTCCCCCAGTTCCTGTCTCTGTCTGACACCTATAATGTTACAATAATGCATAAAGTTGATGGTTTCAAGTCAGGTTCAGGTGCACATACAGATAGCCAACTGGCTCTGATAACAGGTCTGATAGATGCAGATAGGCTGTGCTTTCTAACAGTAAGTGTTGTAACTCGCAGTTGAGTAGGGGCAGAAGCACTAATGCTGTGCACTCTAGTGTTAATATAGTGTCGGGGCAGGGTGATGATAGGGATGGCTCCTATGAGTCATTGAGCCATGATTTCAGGTCCACCCGAAAAATCCTGACAACAGCTATGATGACCAGTTTAACTGTTTCAATACACAACGCAGGAGTTCACTATATTTTCATGTTTTCAGTAGGTATTTTCTAACATGTCTAATGTGTTTTGAAACAAATTTCTGCTTTAACTTTACCCAGACTTAAAGGCAGTAATGTTCATTAAACCACACACTGAGTAATTATAAACTCTTGGATGGACTGAAAAACATACTAATAATTTTGGTACTGTTGAAGCCTTACCAGTAGTGGGACTATAAATGCACTGTTTGTCCCAATGAAGGCCATGGACTCTTTAAAATGTTAAGTCCTACTTTGCAAGGGTAAATATGCTTCATAAATTGTATGGTAAACTGCCAATTAGAGTATGAGATGTGCTGTGTGCAAATTGACATTTTGGCCTGAGAATGGGACTCAACGGTCAATGGACAACATTTGGATCGGTTCTTTTTGAAACCAAAATTTTATAAATTGCCACTGGTTTGGAGATCTTGTCTACTAAGGTGACAGTATGGGCAACTCGTGCTTAGTAAATCTCAAAGATAAATTTCCACCAAGGGGAGAATGGTAGATGAAAGGCTGAAAGTGTCACTAAAATGATCAGGAATCATCTTATTATTCTGGTGAAAGAGGTAAGAAACAAACGTACAAACTGCAGGTTAAGTTATGTTACCTGATTTGACACCATCTGGACCTTCCCCAGAGTATTCTGCCCCATAACAGAAACAGGAAGCACCATGGGCTTCACAGGGGATGGTAAAATGAGTGTTGACCCTGCACGAAAAGAACACTGATTTTAAAAAACAAACAAACAGCAAAGGTAAACAAAACATGCCACTAGCAGGGACAACACACAATAGATGACGGAAATTCTATCAGCTGGTACTTCACTGCACATGTCAGCTTAGGGAAGAAAGTCCAAAACTGAAAACAAGGGTCACAATGAACTTTACTCAACCATAATGTGTCTTGAATTTTCTAACCTTACCCAAATGTTTAAATCTTTTCTACTGTTTTGCACTGCAACCTATGTGTTCATGTGGATGAGCACCAAATTGTGTGTTGCTTTATAGGAACAGAACTCCACATCATCACATGTTCACAAATGGGGAAGAGGCGACATCGTCAATTGTTTAAGCCCAAAGTCCCTCAACGGGAGGTGTTCCTTTCACAGTACATTAAGAACACTACAAATACAAATAAAAGTTACAAACAGAACATCAAAAGCTGCAACTACACAAATCAAAGCCAGCTAGTGATGTCATTGTGAGTTTGACTTTTGTTTGTTGATATGATTCACTGTTGTAGCCTACTGTCTCTTACCAGGGGAGTAGCCTTGAGAGCGAGTCGGTGTGGTCACCCCATACTGGTTGGTGGGCAAAGGCTGTCCCTTTGAGACACCAGCAGACAGCAGCACCTGTCTAGTTTGAACATCTGTACTCGGAGGTTCAGTCACAAGGAAGTAACTGGCAGTGGCTCCTTGGAGGGCAGGGTTAGTGGTGTCCAGGGGTAGTTGGATTATGTAGTTTTGCTGGGCCTGTGATGTCCCCGTTAATGGGGATGCGAGCAAAGCCCCAGCCTTATAGCTGAGAGGACTACCATGTGCCTCAGAGCTTTGTAAGCCACTAACTGCCTGTGCCGCCTCATCCAAGTTGGCCTTTGGTGTGCCAGGGCCTCCAGAGGTCTTAGCTGGGGAGGAAAGATAAATGGTGGGTATCTTGTCACCAGAAATGCTAGAAATTGCCTGATTCAAGGCCTTGTCACTGGGAGACTCCTCATCCTGGTTATCAGTGATGATGATCTTCAAAGAAACTATATTACTGGAATCGGCAGCAGCTTTGCTTGGGGTGGTTGGAGGATCAGGTGCTGCACCAAGTGGGACACAAGATGAGGAGGATGTGGGTGACACAGGTGAGGATGAGCCAGGTGTAGCTGTAATTGTTGAAGAGGTAGAGGCAGATGTGGGTGAGCAAGGTGTCGCTGTGAATGGTGCAACAGTGGACACTGATGAGGGTGAGGCAGGCGCAGTTGTAACTGTGGCACTGCTAGAAGCAGGTGTGCAAGACGCAGATTCGGGTGTTACTGAGACAGTAGACCCTGTTTGAGTGTCTCTTCCACTGTTTGAAAGTGATGTATGAGGTAGGTCAGCGGTCGACGCTGGAGTGTTGTTCGGTTCAACTTGTGAGGGAAACAAAAAAGTACAGGGGGCTATCAGAGGTTGCACTTTACATCCTTGTGCTTGTTTATGTTGCTGTTTTTTGTCAACATTAGATGTCACTTCTGGCACTGCAAATGCAGTGGAGGGAGGGATGTTTGGTTCACTGGGAGCAATTGTGACGGAGGTGCTGTCCTTTGCGGAAGTCTCCTGCATGGCCACACAGTCTGCAGGAGGGGGAGGTGTGTTCAACGGTTCATCAATATCCATTGGTGTTCCAAAATCACTGTTACTGAAGAGTGAGGCTTTTTCTTTTCTGTTCGAGTTCACTGCAGTAGATGAGACACCTCGGTGATCCCCGTGACTCACTAACAGTTTGGCTGAACTGTTTTCAATTCTGGATGCTCTCCCGCTGGGGCCAAGAACTGTTTTCTTTAACAAGGTGGAAGCAGTCAGCTTTCTTGTCTTACGCTCCTGTCCAGCTCTCATCTTCACCGTCACTGGTGTTGGATCTGAAGTGTTGGCTTCTCTCTGTGTAGTGCCTGAAAAATAAAGTGAAATGTTTGATGATTAATCTGGCCCTACCTGTGTACTTTATGCAGCTCTGTCTTCAGTAAGGGTATAACAAGAGTACTGTATAGCTGACCAACTGCTGCAGTCATTAACAAACTCTGATGACATGCACTAATAACATAGACAGGAAGCAGGCCAAGTATGTTGAGCTGTTAGCCAAAATTATGCCCCTTTGCATACACACACACACACACCTCACATAAAAAGTTGTTTAATCTGGAACAAGTCATTGATTTTTGATAATGAAATCGTTAATGAATAACTAAATTCATGAACCACTGATGGCCTGCTTCTCACCCTGCCTTCCAGTGTGTCTGTTAAGAACAATTATAAACACTTAATTTGGCATGATCAGACATGTTGAACAAACTAGTTAGCATAACCTAACCCTACACCCCTTTCACCCTCCTTCCAACGTTGCACAATTAATTAGAAACCTGACTGTACCGGCTGTGTTTTCAATGAACATGAAGATTTTTCTCCCCTTCAAACTTTAGATTTAAAAAACCTGCTTTGGCCTGTGTGATACAGACAACAATCAAAGGTGGCATCTGTGTTTTCCTCTACTGAGAGCCTACTACTGTATCAGACTGTAAGAATACCTGGCTCATCACTCTGAAGGGGTTCGACTGTAGATGAAGGTCCAGCAGTGTCACTCTCTTCTGGACTAGTGCTAATATCTCCATCCCCTGCTTCGCCATCTGTGAATTTGGTTTTGTCTGCAAATACACATTACAAAGTCTGTTTTGAAATGGCCTTCCATTGTGCCTTATTACACAGTTGAAAAGAAGTGATTAAGGAGTAATCTGTGCAACAAACAAAAGCAAAGTAGGTCATAGTTACTGTAATCGAAAAGCTCAAACAGGGCCTGGAAAGCCGGGTCAGACTCTGTTTGTTCCAGAATGTCATGGATGGCATCATCACTCATGTGGATTTCACCCTGTACCAGAGGACATATGTCAGGAAATAATGTCACGACACAGAAAAATAAGCACAGCGTGATGATGATTAAGATCTAAAAACTTTTTTCATGCACTCAGGAGATAAATTGCTCTCAAAATTTGGTCACAAATTTGTTAAAATCTGTGTTAGTACATTTTTGTTCAGTATAAACATTTATGAGACACATTTTTGAAAAAATAAATACTTTTTTATATATAGCTTTTCAGCACCTGTAATCCTAGGATTTCATCTATAGACTGGTCTGCCTCCACTGTACTTGAAGGGGCCTTTGATGATTGGGGCGTTGGCTCGCTGATACAGAGATGAAACAGAGGAGAAGTTAGTACGGCTATGTTGCAACATGCCTGCAGTCAAATTCAAAAATCATCTACCGCAACAACTTAATTCACACAATTAGGTAATGCAGAGTTCCGACTCAACACTTACTTGGCGAGGATTTTGTTGATATTTTCAGCAAGCTTCTCTTGTAACGATCTGTCCCCCAGTATCTTGTCTCGTGCATTTTGTATCACAAGTTGCTGTGGAGATTAGCATGTGTTGTAAGGATACAAAATAAATGAACCGTGAATTTAAACAAGATGAACACATTCAAGAGAGAGAGCATGCCATTTCTGATTCCATGACGTTCTACTATCCCTTATTGTTTCTAGACACATAAAGGTAATGCTCATGTCACCTTCTATTTTCAGGTCTGAGACACAACACATCCTTGTACCCCTTCCACCCCTGAGCTAATATACACTCAAAAAATATTAGATTCAGTAAGTGATGAGAAAACCAGATCGAACTTGTTCTGTGTCTGGAGCATCCTGTCATTCACCATGCTTAGTCTAAAACACATCTACAGGCAATTTAGCCCAAATTTGGTGCACAGGATGGACTAAGATCATTGCATCAGTGAAGACACTTCTTATTTGGTTCAAAATTTTTTGGTATTAAGAAAACCCTACAACTAACATACAGATCTACTTACAGGAAAGTTCTCATCGACGGTCTCTTCAGGTTGGGGTTCTGCACTGGGAGTATTCACAGTCATGGCACTTCTGCCAGGGGTACTAGACCCACTCTGAGCTCCACCTCTCTTCCTGGGGGTGTCCCTGAAGGCAGCAGAAAAGATTATAGAGGTGTCTGCCAACATGCACAAGGCACTGACAACACTTTATGAGCACTATAATCTCACACAAAAACACCACAAACTAACTAAAGCTAAACCTGACAAGCCAGTCACCATTTCTCACAGTGGACATTTTTTGGACTTGGCTAATAACATCAACAAAGGCCCAGTGTCCCAGTTAGTTATGGCAGTGTGACAGTGAGCCAGAATGCACAATAAACAGACTCTCAAAACTGAAGAAAGTAAACAGAATTCAACCAACACGGATTTCATTATTTACTCCTTTGCTTTTTATTTACTGTCGTAACATGTTTAAATATCTTCCATAAAAAAGGCCAATTTATGAACATCTCCTCGTGTACTTTAGTCCTGCACAGACAAAGCAGCATTGTTAAGCCAATGTGGGTTAGTAGGACAACAGAGTCTGTCTTCAATGTTCTCTCATTCATTAGTTGTTAACATCAACGGTAAAATAGCAATACAAATCATGCTTACCATTTCCGTCGTCCAGGAGACATCGGGCCTTGATTTAGCCGTTGTTCTGAAACAATTATCTGAACAGGCGAGTCCCCTGTAATGAACACATTATGTCACACATCATAAAAAAGCAGGTTTTTTTGGTGATTGCTTATAGCTTGCAAGCATGCCAAAATATAAATAAAGGAGCTGATAAAGCTTTGCTAAATCTTTCAAGAGCCCTACACAAAACAAAGACACGGGCTCAAGCCATCATCAGAAACACAAGATGACTTTCAGAAAAAAATAGCTGTAACATGACATGATTGGATTCAACATCTCTACTGTGTAAAATCAGCACAGGGAAATGACCACCACTGCTGAGATTGTAAAATAAAAGTGAATATTGTTTAAGCTTTTTGAGGGGATGAAATTCAGTAAGACGTGAAAACAAAACACAACCTTTAAAACTGCCACTTCAACTACCCTGTAATAAAAACAAACAATAAAGAGAGTACTGCATGTTTTGTGATACTCACTGGGCGTATTTAGTATTCTGCTGACATCACCGATCTGCTGCTGTGAGCCACTGCCGGTAGCTAATCGGGTTTGCGTGGCAGTGTAGCTCACGGGAGTGGAGTGGCTGAGCATGCTGTGGGAGCTGAGTGCCGGGCTGATGATGGAGCTTGTTTCAGAAACTGATGAGCAGACAACACCACCAGCTGAAGATACGGTCAGGACCCGCTGTCGAGCCATGTTTGCCACTCCGATGCGTGAACGTGCTGCAATGAAAAGAGGCTGATAAATAAAAGGCCAAAGTACAAACCCTGAGCAAACATAGAACTCAAACAATCTTTGACACATAGTTTTTGTGGTCATATCTTAATATCTTAAATCATAGTTTGATGACTGTTAAGGGTGGTTGATGCTGATAATTGGCACACTCAGTGCTTTCACCAGTGTCCCCTACATTATGCAAATTTAGTCAGGTTGGTTGGATTTTATATGCGGGTGCTATTCAATCAAAAAAAAAAAAAAAAAAATCTTTATGGCAGTCAAATGTATTTGGGTGGGTGTCGATAAAAGAAACTCTGGGAAACACAGCTATATACTATTGACAAGTTTATGTACCTGTCATCAATCGTTTGGCAGCAAGAACTTTTGTGAGTGTCAACAATAAAATATTTGTTAAAAATAGGAAAAGTATTAACAGACTTACTTCTTTGAATCGCTGATATAGCGGGGGAATTCTGCAATGACCTAAAGAAAGACATACAAAATAAGAAACCCTATCTGTGTGATAAAGATCCAACTCAGTGTCAGCTTTGAATAGATAACACTGAGATTTGAACACTGTGGTCAGTCTCAATGTACAACAGTTGCAGTGATTTAGATGCTGAAACTTGAAGCTCATTACTTGATCTGGTTGAGTGTAAAATCCAGCTTTTTCCACAGCGAAGTCATCATGGCAGGCACCTCATGACGAGACTCTGTTGAGGAAATAGACAAATTACCAACAGTGACAGGCTGCTTCGCCAACAATGTTTGAAGGAGAGATAATGCAGGTTCTTCCCTCCAGCTGCTTTCAGACTATACAAGCAACACTGCTTCCAGTAGACCACACAAAGGAAAACTACTGATAATCAATCATTACTCATGTGCAATATCTACACATTTTATGTGCAATAATGAAAATTCTGCCAACCAGACTGTGTAGTTATTATATCCTGCCTTTTTTTTTTTATTGCTTACAATCATTGCTCAGGTGTAGTATCAGTATACGATATACTTTATTATCCCCGCAGAGAAATTTGTCTTGGACTTGGGTGCACAAGTAATGCTGCATTACAATAACAGTCCAGGAAAAAATGAAGCATACACCATAAAAACATTAAAAACACAACAGTTTTGCACATCAGTTCCCGATGTTACATAACATAACACCAGCAGACTACAGAGCACCCTAAATTTGGGTATCCTGTGTTGTCTGCCTGAGAGTAAAAGCTCGTACACAGCCCAGCGAATGTGGGAAGAGTCAGACAGTATTCTCTGTGCTTGTTTGAGAACAGACAACTCATATACTGTTGTGTCTGGAAGGACTGGTGTTCCTTCCTCCCCATGACCTTCATAGCTGTCTGAAAAAGACACGCAAGTCTGGATTTCAACTCCAAAGTCAGATCCCCAAACCATGCTGACATACCTCTAGAACAGCCTGATAAGATAAAAACATGATCCTCAGATCTACCCCAAAGACCCCAAGTTTTTTAACAGATAAAGCCTTTGCTGTGGCCGAGAGCACACATTGTCAACATGGAACCTCTCGCTAAGGCTACTGTCCAAGTGGACGTCAAGGAGGACACCTGATTTATTTGTCCCTCATGCATGATGACTGGGCTGTGATCCCAAAAACCATCTCCATAGTTTTACTGGTGTTTAAAATCAGGTACTTGGCATCACACCACTGCACAATCCGGTCTATTTCATCAAATAAGCTGAGGGACTTTTGTCCTTGTGCAGGAGACTGAGAATCATCTGAAAATTTTAAAATATCATTCCCGGAGTTGCTGTTCTTACAGTCATTAATGTATAGTGTAAAGAAGACTGGTGAACTGACACAGCCCTGTGGGGTACCTGGACTGTATCTGGACTGTGAGTACAGTTGGTTAAAAAGTTAAAATACCACTTATATAAAAAGTATATGCTAAACTGTGCAATATCTGTAACGCCATTGTTCAATAATGTGACATGAGCCACTCAGTCTGTCTCTATATTAAGCTATATATCACTTCTTTCTATGCTGCTTACTTATAATATTGTTTTGTGTTTTCATAATGTTTGCGTATTATACTGCTCCTTGTTTTGCTTTGTACAGTTTACTTATTGAACTGATCTGTGCTTTTGTTTTGACCAATATGTAGCTGTTACATTGCTTTGTGTTGTTATTTAACTGATGCTTCCTCTTTGCTGCTGTAATCGTGGAAATTTCCCGGCTGTGGGACTAATAAAGGCTTATTATATCTTATAACAAGCATGACACACAATAAAACCATAAAACAACCAGTGCCTTTTGTGATGGGATCAATGCCAGACAGTCTCACCTTTTGCTTTAGCAGCCACATACTCATTTAAGATGGTTGTGAGGCCTTTCCCAAAGACAGACTGTGTGTGGAAAAAGCACAATCATAAACAGTTGCGGTGATTTAAATGACATTCACTTAACAGTTTGTGGGACATAATAACATAATAGAGACAAGAGGCACACTTACAAACACACACGCAGGAATGGTCCCATCTGCTGTGGTGTGTTCAGCATACTCTTTCAGATTTGGGCACTCATGGATGAAAGCTTGGGTTGTGGCTGACAGTCCCTCTTCTTGGAGGTAACCTGAGGAAGGACAATTAACAGCATCCAATAAGAGGAGCACGACAAAGCTCAAACAGCAAAGTAATATTTACCCCAATTAAACTGCATGTTAACTGCTAACTGTTAGCTAGTTAGCAGTAAACCACTGTAAGCTCTAAGTCGCCTGTTAACCAGTAAGTGTCGTTGTGGCTAACGCTACAGCTACAGCTTTGCTACGTCAGTTGACACTAGACTTACCTAAAACAAGCCGGGCGACGTCGGACGGTAGCAACATGGCTGCCTGTTTGTTAATATAAAGTGTTAAGAGTTAGCCAGGCAGCTACATGTTACGGAAAAGTCTCTCAGAGATTCGTTATACGGCGTTCAATTAGGAAACCGTCAGAGGTATTGTTGTGACGGTGACGTCCAGCGGACACTATCGTTTTCTCAAAAGGCGGGGAACTCAAGCACGTATAACCCGGAAGTTCCGAGAGAAATCTGCCGATTGGAATGTTGGGAGTTGTAGTTTATTTTGAAAAGTCAAACTCCTGTACAACCTACAGGTAAAGTATCCACAAATATGAGTGTAATAGATATACCACTACTTCTACATGCTATTTAACACTTTAATAATACTGCACCCGACTACTTCGGTTAGTTTGTTTGACCGTTGGCACATAAATCACCGGACGCACTCGGCCCAACCCCCTGACCAGGAAGTGATGTAGCCTCTGAGGTGCTGAAGCATGAAGCCGGGGCGGGAATTTCCTGCGTGGGCTACGTGTACGTGCGTATCGGCGCACGGCAACATGTCAGGAGCTGAGCAGCAGGCTACTCCTGTTATGCACCACATGAGTTAACATCCACACCTGCATGTGTGACAGCTCCGTGTCTACAGTCAGTGCAGCCATCAGAGGTCAGTGATTTGACTGAGAGCATTTGAATGGGTGTGTGTGTAAGAAGTTTGAAGCCAGTTTCGCAACGTTGTGATGCTAAAGTAGCTCGTCTACAAGGCCAGGCTGAATATGGAGGGATTTGTTGTGTTTAGATTAACACGTTGCAACTAAAACTCTCTTAATGTATAGTTTATACTAGTTAATAACGTTAGTTCATAGTCTGTCAGGCGTGCTTTGAGAAGACAGCTCTGCAGAGTCATTGTATTGTATGCATGCTATGGATGAATAACAACAACATCTCCTGTCAACATGCAGTCCTGGAGGATAAAACAGCCTACTCTACACTGATAAAAGCTACTCCTCATCCACTGTGAAGCACAATGAGTCTGGCTCTTCATGATCTCCTGGTCTGCTGCAGAGGACTGGAGAATGACAAAGCTACAGAGAGGAAGGTAATCACACCTACATGGAAACTGCATGTAAACAATAAAATGAGATATAATTGCACCAAGCATTTTTCAGCCTCACTGTAGCCAAGTGAGTATAGTATATTGTTGGGAACTGGGGGGTCACCAGCTCAAGTCCCTGTCCAAACCAGGTATGGAGCATTGACTGGTTGCTGGAGAGGTGCTAGTTCGCCTCCTGGGCACTGCTGAGGTACTCTGGGGATTCATAAAGTATATCTTCTTCATAAATCCTCCACTTTGACAGTTGTTTCCTCTCTTCATGCCTGCAGAAAGAAGCTGAGCGCTTCAGACGGCTCCTTCGAAGTCCAGAAGTTGTGCAGGAGTTGGATCGTATCTCAGGATCTAAAGCTAAAGGCTCCAAGCAACTCACATGGGATGCTGTATTCCGGTAATCTGACTTTCTTACTATGTTATCTAGTATAACATCAGTCATGTCTTGCTTCTTGCAAATCTTTACTTAATATTGCACACTTGGTTTTATACTTTTTGTGCCTTTCCTGCCAAGACAACAGGCCTAGTTTGTTTCCAACTTATCAGTTTAGTTTCACTTTTGTTTCTTTGCATCACTCACTAATGACTACCTGCTGACTTCCGGGAACCTTTGTGGCCAGCAACCAAATAGAAACTGAACCGGCTGTACTTAACACAGTAAATATGATGGCTTGTAATATTTTAGAATTGCTGATTTATTCCAACTTGTCCCACAATAATCCGTCCTCATTCCATGTTTTGCAAGATATCTGTAAATTGTACTTTTGCAAGAGTTTTGGTGTGTCAGATTCAGACATCTGTCAAAGGCCTTGATAGTTAAACACTTCCTTTTCTGTTTTTTACCCCCATGTCAGATTTCTGCAGCGTTATGTCCAGAAGGAAACAGAAAACATGCAGTCAAGTAAATCCAACGTCACTGCATCCACACTGGCCACGCGGCAGAAGAAGATGGCAGAAATGTGCAGCTTGATCAAATACTTTATTCGCTACGCAAACAAACGTAAGGAAACTGTCAGTGTGAGATCCAGTTGTAGGTTACAATACAATTTATGTGTCATAATACACTAAAGGATGTTTGGCTCTACATATATTACAATATTTTCTTTTGTTATTTCATCTGAGCAGAAAACAGCAGAGATTCTGAGCAGCTGTCTCTCTGTCTCTCTGCAGGTGGGCCTCGTATAAAGTGCAGTGAGATGCTGAAACATGTGATGGACGTCCTGAAGAATTCATACAGCTGTTCAGCCTATGGAGAAGATTACAGCAGCCTCCTAGTAAAGGACATCCTCTCTGTTCGCAAGTACTGGTGTGACATCCCTCCACAGCAGTGGCACAGTCAGTTTTATAATAATCTAATTACACACATTAATAAATTCAATTTCATCAACACTAATTTTATTTGTCTTTTTGCATTACATAACCTTATTACTGTAGTCTGATATTGTAATGTCAACTTCAGTTCACTGAATCCCATTTGTTTATATTTGTTATCCTCAGATCTTTTGGACTTGTACTGTGACTTGTTCAACACTTCATCCAAGTCCATCAATCGTGTTTTGGTGAGCAGAGTGATCCACACGGTGGTGCAAGGCTGCTGCATGCAGACGGATGGATTCAACAACTCTCTGTTCAGCTTCTTCTCCAAAGCACTTCTAAATGCAAGGTGAAGACTTTTATCAATGTTTTAAATTGAATTAATGTCCCTCAGCTAATTAGATAGATGCACTTATTGTTTTCTTTTTCAAAATCCCATGACCCTGTCAGGCAGGAGAAACACCTGACAGTTTTGGAGCACCTCGTCTCAGCTCTCAATATCTTCTCGAGATCCGCGGCCATGAACTGTCGGATGAGGGTGTGTCACCTGGGAGAGGAGCTTCTGCCTTCTATACTGTATGTCTGGGCGGACATGAGGCCCAGTGCGGCTCTCAAAGAGGAGATTGTGGAGTTCTTACACCTGCAGATTAGTGTCCACCACCCCAAAGGAGCCAAGACACCAGATACAGGTAGAGTGATCCTTCCAAAACAATTTATGTTTCCAGTGGTTGTGACACCTTTGGTTGCCCTTGTATGGTGGACAGGCTTCATTGTGGGTTGTGCATAGTTCCATATACAGCTCCACTTATTTGGGGTGGCTGCGGCTCAAAGGAAGAGCGGGTTGTCCACTAATCAGAAGATCGATCCTCGGCTCCTCCAGTCCAGTCTTGGGGCAAGATACTGAACCCCAAATTACTCCTGATGGCTGTTCCATCGGTGTATGAGCATGTGTGAATGGTTACTGAGTACCAGGTGGCACCTTTTATGGTGCCTCTGCCACCAGTGTGTGAATGTGTGTGTGAAAGGGGGAATGTGACGTGAGTGGTCGGAAGGCTAGAAAAGTGCTATACAAGTGCAGGTCCATTTACCATTTTCCATTTGATTCTTCCAAGCAATGGAGAAAGAAATGTGAATAACTTAATTTTTAAAGTTCAAATTGCACCACCAAGGAAAGATTTCAAGGAGATCAATTGACTTAGCAATCTCTGCAAATTCAACTAAAACACCATAAAAATACAATTTTATACCATGAAATTGTTGAAAATCAGTCGCTGAACTTGGGGTTTGCTTCCGAATTGACCATTAACTAGTTGTTCTCTCACTCTCTAATATTTCAGGTGCTCATGCTGAGGACTGGACCAAATGGCGGAGTCTGCTATACAACCTGTACGACGCCCTAATCAGAGAAATTAGCCACATAGGCAGCAGAGGGAAGTACATCACCGGGACACGTCACATAGCTGTCAAAGACAACCTCATTGAGCTCACAGCTGACATCTGCCACCAGGTAATACAGATCCAGGCTCAAGTATGCATACAGAAAATCACAGTTTCATTTGATGTAAATGTTTATGCCATTATAAAACTAATTTGAGCAGTTTAGCTAATGTGGAGCCGCACATCTGTCTTAATAAAATCATTTCCCTAATCTCATTGTGTTTCTTGCACGTAGCTGTTCAGTGATGACAATGACACCCATGTTGTGGAGGTGACCCAGGCCTCCCTCAGAGCCACCTACATGGGCAGTCCAACCCACGGAGCAGCAAGCAAGCGACGGCGCATTGAACTGGGTTGGGAGGTCCTCCGGGACCATCTGCAGCCTCAGCATAATGACTTTGATGTCATACCATGGTATGAAAATCACAATGCACTTAATACAAACTACATACTGAGTGTGGTCTCTTAAAAACATTGATTTTACTTTGTGGTAGAAAAACACATCATGATCATGTTAAGATATTCAAACCCTCTTTTCTCCCCTCAGGCTGCAGATCACCGCAGTGCTCTCCTCTAAGTACCCGTCCATGATGCCCGGCCAGGAGCTGGTCCCGCTGCTGTCAGTGTTGTACCAGCTCCTGGCAGAGCAGCGGAAAGGAGAGAGGGGGCCGTACGTGCTACGCTGTCTGAGGGAGGTGGCTCGGTGCCAGGCCTGCTACCCGGAAAGGGCCCAAGTCCACAGGCCGGAGCTGACCCGGCTGTGGGGTCGGGTGTGGGCCCTGGCACTGCGAGGGGTCAGCTCACCCCAGACAGAGGCCCTCAGCCTGGACCTGCTGAGTTCTATTGTCCATAGCGGACTGATCAATATGGACAGAGAATTTTGGAAACTCTTCTCTGGATCAGCTTGTAAACTGTCTCAGTGAGTTTATTTCTCAATGTCTAACAGTTGATTTGTTAATACTGTTAATGTGTGTGTTTGCATTTAGCAGCCCTTTTTTCTCTCTACCCACAGGGGTGCTGCTCTCTGTCTAGCCCAGGCCCTGCTAACGTGTCCAGTCCCTAAAAGTATCATCTCAAGCTCAGGCTGGGACCATATGGGAGTCACAGAGGGATCTGCATCACCAAACCTGAAGGAGACTCTCATAGCCTGGCTGCTGATGACCGACCAGAGCGATGAGATGGAGGATAACTCCAGGCCTCACCCCATCATTTGCAGGTTGGTGCTGTGTTGCTTTTCCATGTTAACTGTGTCTTAACTGTAGATAATTTAATCCTGGTTCAGTACCTGCTTTTTTAAGGATGTAAATTGTAATATTTGAAGACT